TCTTCAAACAAGCAATATCTCAATTTCTTCCTTTTACTCTCTGATCAATGATTCAAAAGCTGTTACGCAAACAAAGTAAACCTAATACTTCCTGGGTAATCTCTCTAATGCCTCTGACCTATTAGCAATCTGAATATCTTTATTCCTGGGATTAATACTGCTGTGATTAATGCCATATTAGTCATTCAAACTATCTAGATCTGTTTCATGTCATTTGCTTTTAAAGGGGTGCTACTAGAACATAGAGAGGCAAATAATTGAAATATGAAGGACAGAAAATTATCTCTTATTTTGAAGAGGGAGAAACGCATTTACTGAAAAAGTGCTTTTATTCATAAGTAAGAACCGAAAGATCATATACGACTTCTGATTTTACTGGGGCTCAAAATCGCCTTTACTGACCACATGCAAATTACATATGAATAAGTTTTATAGTAAAAATAAATTTCAGCAGAAAAAGCTGAGAAGATATAATATGAAGAAGAAAAGAAGGAATAAGATAGAGAGAGTATAGAAAAGAGTAGGATATAGGAGAGATAGAGAAGAGGAAAGAGATAGAAGGAACAGAATAGAAGAAGGAAATAGATGGAACTGACAATATGAAGACAAGGAAGGAAGGAAAAGAAAACATCAAGATAAAGATGGGGAAAAGGTACAAAAAAGAGAATTAAAGAAAACAAAGGAATCAATGAACAGCATTATAAGAAATAGACTATAGAGAGAAAATCAAGTATTCATGGAAAGCAACCTGTCACCATGCATCTTTAGGAGGTCACCTCAAATTAAGCCATCACTAACTGAGGATCCTATGCAATTTCTGACTCACGCCGCTCTCAGTCCCATGTATAAACTTCCTGCGTTGTGACTTCTGTTGCTCTATGGGCGTGTCAGGTGAGAAACTATTTGGCAAGATTAAATTTAGAGCACGGGGGAATTCAGAAAAAGAATCTCTTTCCTTTAGAGCAAACGTGATGAAATGGGAGGTAACCGACCACCGATGAGCACAAACTGTGAAGCTTGAACTTTTGTTTAATTAGATATAGGCCTCTCAGTGAACCTTCATTAAGTTCATTCAACCTCCTATATCTTAAAGGCACAGATTAGACCATGATTTATACTTTTGACCTGGTCTTGGTTACCTTAAATGACCTTTTTATATGACCAATGACATAAAACCTCAATTGATTCATTTTTTCATATTTAATACTTACAAAATTGTGTTTCTTGCTGGTGACATGGTTTACTTGACTGTTTCAAATATGATTTTACATCAATTATTTTTTTCAATGTTGTTATGAAATAAATATCTCAAGTGAGTTTCCAATAATATGTATTTCTGTAAACAGGTTAAACCACATATGAATAGCCAATATCATATGATGTATTATATATCTAGTTTATGTCATCTATCTCATATAAGTATCTAAACTTCACTTAATTTTTGTGACTGCTATACTCAGAAGTGCTACATTGGAGTGTATCAAGTAAACTGAGAATCTTTCTTTATCTTGGCAGCTAAAATTTCTCCTTCGTTATCGCTTCATTTTCAACTTGTCTAATATAACTGGAGATAAATTGGCAGTGGGAATAATTGAAGCTCTTTACATAACCACATCATTTGCCTATACTTAGGATCTTCGATTCATTCAAGGAATTTGTTTACAAATGACTTCCCTCTTTCAGTCAATTTCTTCAACCTTCTCCCTGGCCTAGCTGAGCCCTAGCTCCCTGCAGGCCCATTATCATCATCCTGCAACCCATCTGATTGAAAGGTCCCCTCCCACCTGAATCCATCTCCCCCCATGCAGGAAATGGATTTCTCTAAGCCAAGAGTTGGTTGCCATAGTGACAAAGTCCAGTGGGCCCATCTGATTGGCTAAAAGCTGTCAAAGTCCATCTGACCTGATTGGACAAGGTAGAGATAGTCTTGAAAACTAGGTTTCGCTGTTGTTTTTTGTTTCTTCGATTTTAATGATATCAACTTGATACTTAGTAATAAATCTTAATTGCATGATTGCTTGTCTAGAAAATAGACCAAGGTTTTGTTTCCTTTTGGATATTTTACCAATACCAATTTATAACTTACAAAGAAAGCAGACTTGCATGGTTGATAGTCTTGAAAAATCAGACCTAGGTTTTGCTTTGTTCTTGGCTTTCTTTTAACCATTGATTTTAACATTACACCAATTTGTAAATAATGCCATTATTAAAAGCACCATATTAATACTTCTTTGATTCCATTCTTCTGGCAGAATCTACCTATCTACAGAATTTGTTTTTTTTTTTTAAATATATTTATATATAATTATATGATTTTTTATAAGATTTACATTCAATTTTGGATTGAATAAACATTTCCCTGTAACTATCAGATGCACATGCCAATGACCATGCAGAGGAAAATACTCTCAACATGAAATACTTCGCTACCTCCAGTCCAATAATTTAGATCTATGTAATCTGAAGCTTATGTATCTGGAGGGGGAAGATACACCTAATACGTTAAACTTGTTATTAAAGAAATGAAAAACATCCTCGGCCGACCAGTCACCGACATATCTCAACAGACACAGGTGGTGTGAAACCGTAGACAGGGCCACCAGGCACATACCTCTATATTATCTGCTAGAGACAGAAGGATTCTAACTTGTATACTTTTAACACAGATTTACGCCCTTATGACATCAAAATACCCTCCCCTTAATTCTCCATGAAGAGACATCGTGATTAAGAGAAGTGGAACATCTACCGGTAGATCATTATGTCGTTTTCAGATGATTGTTTTCCCTCTGCCTATACCTAATAGCTACTGATAGTTGTTAATACTGAAGAATTTCATCACCTTTACTAAATTTCCAATATAGTTCACAGTCCTTTATCTACTGAAGAATAGGTCTTTCCTCTAGATAACAATACTTAAAGTCATTTCAGTATTGGTTTTTGTGAATCTACACAAAGCTTACAAATCTGAATGTAGAATAATGACTTTTTATATATAGAAATCTAAGATAAATTACGTAGTGTTATTTCATTAATTCCATGCAAAAATCACAAAATTATAAGCAAAATACAAAATTTCATGTACCGAAGCCCAGAAAGGCTGTGGTACATGAACATATAATACAAGACAATGTTTTTTTCTTTCTTAAAGAATCAGAATTCTTCTAGAAAACATGATCTTGACTTGGAACCAAACTCCCATGCACATACTAAAAAGTACCTAAAATACCGTCAAATACTCAAAAAATATAAAGCTTGCATGTATCAAGAGTACATCTCTGCATGTCATTAAATGTTCAAACCCGTTTCCTCTGCTACAGTAATCCCTGGCAAGAAAAGTTCGCTATATTTATCCAGATGAGAATTCCAGATGCCTTTGTTTCTTCAAAGACACCATCGGAGAACAAGTAGATGAGATCAGCATATGACCCCATTGATGATCTTATAAAGCTCCGTCGGATTATAAAGATGATGAGGGGAGAGTTTATCTTTATGAGGTAAGCGTTGATGGAGGGAACAAGAAACGGAAGAGACTAGGTCTTCAAAACCAAGTTTTAAATATGTTTTATGGATGAGATTGCATTAAAAACATAATTAAATCAACCAACTAAAGCCAATGTTACGCAAAGTATGAATATGTAGCAGGGCTTCATGTAATATCTAGAGTAAACTTCTGAAGATGATTTTTAGCCTAAACTACAATGTTTTCTATTCAGAAGACAGGTAATATTGCTTCAAGATGTTACAGTAATTGTATTGCATCAGATGATATTCCTCTTGTTAATGATTACCGGTATTCACAATATACACCTCTCTAAAAAGAAATATAAAAAAACTTTAAAAACCTAATTCAAATATTTTTGTTAAATATCACTCGATCATCTAACAAAATTTATTTGTATGTTTTTTTTTTTTTTTTTTTTTTTTTTTGGGGGGGGGGACACCTTTTTAGCATTTTTTTTTCTTCTTCAGTTTTAAATATAATGAACTTATTATTATCAAACAACAAAACAAGAAACAAACATGGAATGAAATAATATTTCTTATCGTACTACTACCCCAAACTAAGTTTGTGAAAGTCTGCCCTGATCTCTCTCCTTAAAATACAACTACATCTCAATCAACACTTCCAGGATCAAGTGCATATTCCAAGTTCATTCCTATCGCCCTGAGTTGTTCTTGCGGTCTACCTAAAACCAGCCAACTGCAGCCACGTAAATATTTGTATTTCCAGCCTGTTGTGCCGCATGTTTCAACCCCCTCCATCGCTGCAAGGTGATGATCCCCTCTAGCCTCGGAATAGTCATCCTCTTGCTAGTTAGAGTTTCATGTTTTTATGCTGCAAATTGGCACCTCTGAACTTCCGTGATAGAACTTGTTGTTGTTAGGTTGAAGGAACTGCTATCAGTTTCTTTTTCGTTGTAAATATTGTCATTATCACAACAAAATGGTCATCAAGTGTACTTTGGAGAATTTGGACTCTCGTTTCCTCTGATCATTATCCTTACACTGTAAATTCCAAGAATCTTTTGTAATCTTTTTCTCAATTTCATATTTGAAATTTCAAGTTTCAACAAAATCATTGAATGCACCGATTAATAAATGTAATACTTCCGCAATCATTCCTCCTCCTCCTCTCTCTCTCTCTCTCTCTCTCTCTCTCATTTTTTTCTCTCTCTCTCTCTCACACACACACTCTCTCTCTCTCTCTCTGCCTAATTCCTCCTTTGTAATAAGGCAGACAATTAAATTCCATCTTTCATCCAATTCTTACTTCAATTTTTGTATCCACATCCCTTAAATTACCATCTCTACCTGACAGTTTACAGCAGCAGGCAACCCAGTCATCAATCCTTGTCTACAGAGGAAGGCTTTGACAACATTTTAATCATTTGTCTTTCCCTATATATACTCATTGAATGCATTCAATTGCATAAGACGCTTGGCTGGCAATTAAAGAAAGAAGACAAAATACAAGCAAGAATCTTGCAGTTTCTTACCTGGTAGTTTACAGCAGACGACCCCAGTCATCAGTCCTGGTCTATAGTGGCAGGCCCTGTCAAAGTGTGAATCAAGACAGCAGCTTGCATCGATTCTTCCTGATGCTATACATGATGACTGCCCCTTGTTTTGGTGTGGACAGTGCTTTCCAATACCTCCTAAATCATCCTGTAAATCATTGAGATAAAAGATAATGAAAAATTTCATGACATTTGAATTCAGAGTAAATTAAGTGTGCGATAAAGTTAGAGATATTATTAAACATCTATACAATGCCTGGCATTTGGGTATACTAGAGAGTAGATAAAAAATTTCTATTGCAAGTGACATTTCTGATGCCAATTAATAAACTTGAATAAAATGTTGAATAAAATTAAAACTAAACGGTCATTGTAAGAAAGCAAACTAATTGTTGCTGATTGCTTCACATAATAAAACAAACCTATTTTTGTAAATTTAATACATGTATATGAACAACTTAGGTGTGTAAACTGTTTATCCTTGTTTCACAAATTATATGTAATTGGTCCATCTTGATAGTCAAACATGAATTTAATCAGTATCTGTAAAAAAAAATGTGTGCATGTAAAATTCAAAAACTCATCATGTGTCATATTACAAATTTGCAAGATCACAAATATTTGATTGTATGAACAATTCATCACAATTTCAAATGACCAACTAGACAAATGAATGATCATTGTTCCATCTCAATGCAAATGAAAATCCCTGTCTCGATCTCCCTCTGTTGAAATTTAGACCACCTGTTCGTAGCAACTCAATAATACAATAGGTTAAGAACCTCCCGGCAGGATTAGTCAAAGAATCCTTCTAAATGATGTCATAAATAAGAGCTCCTCTTAAGTGCCCTCTATATCTACACTCTCCAGTACTCTCTCGCAGCTCGTCAAATTAAGGGCCTCTTAAGACACTCCGAGGTGTATAAAACCTTATACAATTGTTACAAGTGTGTATGTTTAGCTTCCTATGACACCCTTCTCTTAATACGTTGGACCATCATCCCTCCAGGTTTTACCTCTTCAACCCAATGTCAGAAATCCCCTAGACAATGGGGGAAAGATCAGTTAGCAGTACTCCTACTCAGCAAAGTACTTTGAAGTGTCTTACGCCAATTTACAAATAATTGAACAGATCTTCCCTTCTTTTGGTACCATAAAGGAAACAACTCCTGTAACAAAATGCCACAGAATAAAGAGCATGGTGGTATATAAGCTGAAATGGCAATAAATGGGAAGGAAATAACGCTAGTGTAAGAAGTGGGTGCTAATTCCATCATGTGGTACCTCAGATCTGTGCCAAATCCCCATTTCAAATAGACAATCATCTTCAATTTGTATCTGTTGGCTAGCTGGGCAGTGAATATCAAGAGAAGGGAGGAACAATCAGAATCCATATGAAGTTTCAATTGGAAAGGATTTCTATTGTAAATAGCCTAATCATTATACACAATTTTACAGAGATTTCAAATATTTGAAATGCTATCAAGAACTTTTCAATCTTTTTAACCTGGCTCATTGCTAAGCAGTCCACTTCTACTTGTCAAATTACAAAGCACCAAGAATGTGCTTGCAACTACTTAAAAAAAGGCAATTTCAAGCACTTTGTATGTCACTTTTAGAAATGAGCGAACATTACATATTAGACATATAATCTGAACACTTCTATTGGATATAAAGTTTTTTGAAAATAGTTGTGACTGTATTCAAGCCAAACTCTCAACATTGTGATTTGAAGAGAAGATGAACCATTTCCCATCATGAATCTAGTCTTGTCTAGTCACCAGCTGAGAGTCAGAAGTGTGTTAACATATCATTTCAAATACCCCGGTAACAATTTACCCCCTCCCAGCTCTCAACAGAAATAGGTATACTCCTCTATTCAAGCCAATGCTTGCAACACCCCTAGGAAGACTGTGGATTTAGAAGGAGACAGACAGGATCACCCTCCGATCTGCTTTATGGTCATAGGCCCGAAGCCAAAGAGACGCATTGGATTGTAGGAAACTTGTAAAACAAAAGCATGGGAAACACCCCGGACGGACGAAGAAGTCTCTGGTGTTTTTCAACAGTCCCCTGTAGCGGTAGCAGAAGAGGTGAGATCGACATTTCAGAATTGCAACAATCTTTCCTCTTCACACTTTAAAAACTAATTATAGGCATCTCAAGGCAATGAAAATATCACTGCCCTAGAGTATCAGGTGGAAAGCCAATTGTATAAAGCAATACACTCAAGTGAATCTTTTTTCTTTTTGTTGTGGGGGGGGGGGGGGAGGGGTGGTGTCTAGGGTCTCCAAGCTGGCACAAAAAAACTTGAACTCTCATAAAGTGTTTATTGATTTGGAAGTGCTTCATGGGTCCTGTATATGCTGTTTATGATCTCCTTTATTTTCTTCATACTCCATCGTTGACCGATAGTATGGCAAGTGAACATTTTTTAGGTTGATTTCATATGTTCTAGCTACTGATATAAATAAATTTACTTTAGGTTATTCATACATTTTAATGTACAAACTTCGAATTTTACAAGAACACGTCCCTTACTTGAATGAGTTGTTACAGTACATCACAGTCTAGCTGTTATGATGTGCTGAGAAAGGAGATCTGGTTTCCGTCAGTGGTTCAAGATTGATGAGATGGAAGGGGATGAGATGGAGGAGGAGGAGGAGGGAAAGGGATCAAGGAGGATAACTTCTAGGAGTACAGATCCTTGGTGTTTGGATACCATGGGTGTCGTGTTTTCGGAAGGAGTAACCCCAGCAACCTTGTGGAAGCCAGGGGTTGTGATGATGCGCCCATGTTGTGTTTTCAATGGATTACCGAGGGGTAGATTCTTCACTTTTCAAACAGACCAAAATATGCTAGGAATTGAGTCACTTGCTTCTACTGAACTAATATTGGTATCCACTCTGTCCTTTATCTTTGTATTCTCTTACTCTGTGTATTCATGCTTACATTTTTTTTCATGAAAAGATGCCTCTCAATTCATTTTTTCGATGCAATAACCATCTTTATATTGCTTTTTGATCAGAAAAAAAAACATGTAGCTAAGTTTTATGGTGTCTTTCAGTCCCCTTTTCTCCCCCCCCCCCCAAAAAAAAAAAATCCCCCAAAGATCCCCCTTGCCTCTGATGTTATTTGTGCCTTTATTGTTTATTCCATTGTCCATCTACAAGACAAGAATCAAACTACACCAACAATTAATTTCAGCAGTCATTGACTCATTACTCACATGATCAAATGAAGCTCTCATTAAAGGTCATCTTCTAAAGTTTGACCTCTGTAAATTCTTCCATGGTATTGTCATATAGATAACATCATTCAGGCCTATTTCCCATTTATAATTCCATAAGTAAACATTTATCAAAAACAAAAAATGTGTTTAATATGCATACACAATAACAGTCAAAATCTTGAACTAGGGAAAAGTTCAAGGCTTAGGGCAACAATTTAAAATTCAAATAAAGATCATCGTAATTCAGGCTCATTAGAGCAGAATATTGTACCTGCTGCGTCTCCTGCCGGCGGGGATTAAACAAAAGGCATCCCAATTACTGCCAATCAAAGCTCGCATAATGAATCACTGTCTTGTCAGGGCTGTCATTATCTCATTAGCAAATGAAGATGGGGAAAGATAGACAGTCTTGGACAAACAGATCATGTAATTTGATTAACAGCCGAGAGGGTCAGGCTTCGGTTCCGTTTGGAACCAGAAGGGCGTTCGCTCATATACTCTAGCAGAGCGTTAACGCCCTTCTGGCTCCGAACGGGCGATATGAGCTGGTCCAGCTCGCAGACTGGGCAAACCCTAATGATGCGTCATATGACATTTCCTGTGGAGAGGTGCAATGTTTAAACAGTATTATATAACAAATGAGTCCTATTTTGACGGGAGAACAATGTCCATCTCCAAGAAGGATCTAGGGGTATAGTTTGCAAAAGATGCCAAATATTTATCTGTTTTAACAGTAAATGACCATGTGCTGTACTTGTATGATTTAACAAACTACTTACCGTACACATAAGAATCCCATCTGCAATATGTCAGACAGAAATCCACTCAAGATAAAAGACAAAGACTTAAAAACTGAATTAGTTGTATTCTTGTAAATTTGATGTTTTTTGTATTGTTTTTCGTAAATCAACAATGGAAGGTGGACTGGCTGAATAGAGCCTCTCCAATCTGCTCTGTACAGATATTTCATAAAGTTTTATTCCTTTTAGTTATTGATGATGGAAAATATTTGTTTCTTACAGGAGATGTATAGAAACATATTTTCAATAATTGTATTTAGGGTGTATGTATGATTGAACGTTTTCTTTTGGGAAAATATAAATTTCTGATTTTTACAAAGTTCAGAGCAATTGGGAGGGAACCTCACAGAGTTGCCAATTTGTGTTTAATTGATCACAACTTCAAAATTTCTTAACTTTCTTATTTTTAATTGGATTTAATTTGCTGAACTTTCACTGACCTGATCCTCTCATTTTTCTGCTTCTCTTTAAACCAACTTAATATCAGGGGTCACTCTGTGTTAAATTTTATGAGTTAACATCCTTCTGGCTCCGAACAGCTGATGCGTCTACAAACCATATGGATCATCTGACGTAACATATCAAACCAGAAACAAATTGAATTCCAGAGAAGAATCACTCATACTACATCCTGAATGACACATGAGAAGATAGTCAAGGGGATGACAACTGTCTCACATATTGCTTCCTTTTCTTCTTCTTGTCCAAGATTCTCAGAGAACAATGACCTCTTAAATCGTGCTGACAGCAAGACATTCAGCAGGATTAATGAATTCCATTCGTTTGTACTATTGTCTTTCCTCAGCATGATGTAGTTATGAATGAATTATGAGTAATGTGAGTTTCATGTAATTTGATTATTAGTCTGGTTAAAGAATGTCATTTAAACTGTCTCATATGATTCCAGAGTTATTTTGGTATGAGAATCCCTACTGTAAACTTTTCAATCCTTTCTAGTAAGTGCTGAACACTTGAGAGTTCATGCAGAGACATGAATAACATAGAGAAAGAGAGATTTAGAAGGGAAAGAGAGAGAAAGGAAGAAAGAAAAAGGGTGAAAAAGCATAAGATAAAGCAATTATAAAGGAAGAAGCATAGGAAATACTGATAGAATAG